AGAAAATATTTTTTCACCAAATTATGCAGATCTTCTAAATATAAGGATAACTTACATAATATCAAAACCCACATTTATTATTATTATTATTATTATTATTATTAATCTCATTAGAAGAGTTTTTAGGCTAAGGGAAGCTGGCAAGTTCCCAGTGACAAACACAAGTTTTCCAAAATTATAAATCTTGCTAGAAATTTCTATTCTTATTATTGGCAACAAATACCATGAGATATTTTCCTTGAAGCAAAAGAGCAACTTCACTCAATCTTGAGGAAATTTTTGTCAAACACCCAACTCTAAATAACCAAGCAGTTTTCTGTCAATCTTTTTTTTTCAATAAAAATGGTATCCCATGTAAAAAAGCATCCAATTCCATTCACAATTCAATGAAAAGAGTGCTCTTCCTGGGGATGACCGTCATACTTTGGCATGCAGGAAGTGCTTTACACATACTTGCCACTTTGTCCACATAACACTAATATACATATTGTAGATATAGGAGCAAAGGCACTGGAATGCAGAAGAAATAAGTAAAGCACTATTTTTAATAGATGTTGCCTTCCGGTAACAGGATGTAGAAAAATGAGAATATGGAGGGCTTTTACATTTTAAGTATACCTTGAATGTTTCACAATAAAAATTCAGTGTAACAAACTAGGAAAACAAGTGAATATGGGAAGATTTGACAGGATACACAAAAGGCTTGACTGATTACTTCCTGGTGGAACTATGGGTGATTACAGTGTTTTTGTTTTTTACTTCTCTGGATTTCTAGTTCTCCTGAAACAAACTTGTATTTCTTCTTTATTAACAACATTTTTATTTACAGAAAAGTTAAAGGTTTTGGAATGCATAAACTGTATGGCAAACTGCTTAAAGTTATAACCACGGCTTATCCAATTCTAGGTCAGAGTATGAGTTTTGGTTTTTGTTTTTTTGTTTTTTTTCCGGTACCAGGGACTGAACTCAGGACCTTGAGCTTACAAGGCAGGCGTGGTGCCACTGAGCTAAATCCCTGGCCCAGAGTATGAGTTTTATATATTTATTTGTGTTATGTAAGAGACAGTAGAATCAATTCTGACATCCTCAAATAATAAAGGTACTTGAATTAGGTATGTGAAAATACACTACACGTATCTTTATAATATTCAGTAGGAGGGAAATTATTTTATTATTTGAAAAATAACAGAACTTGTGTAGAAAATACAAATTGCATAGTTGCTAGTGCAATTAGAAGCCTTTTTAATTACATTTTTTCCCCACTTAATGAAATCCAAAATGTTGCTTCATTTTCATTGATCTGGTCAACTACTAGACATCCAACAATGCGTATAAAAACTGCTTTGAATGATAGTAAAGACAATTTGTAAAATAGCTATGCTCTTTTATATGTATAAGACAAAATTTTGGTAACAAAAATATTTTATATCCTACAATCACCACACAATATTAATGTGTTATTTTTATTAAATTACCACACATTACATTTTCCAAATATATTTTTGCAATAAACTGATTAAAGAACAGGGCAGTAACACAGTTCCTGAAAGTAATTTGAAGTAAATCTAATTTAATATTCTATTATTGCATGATACAATCACTTAGGTTCTTAGAAGTCCCAAAGAGTTGATCTGAACTGTAGAAGGCTGATTTAAGATGCTAGTCCTTCAATATATAGGTCAGGTTCACTTTGGGATTAAAATAATTTTTAAGGTAAAATATTACTCCTTTTAGAAATGAAATATAGCTTTTATAATGCAGTAAGATACACAAAATTGTTCTGTTAATTGCCAACTTAACTAAAAAGACCTGTCTTTTTTGTTTTGGCCACTGGTTTCTTGCTTGTATCGACAATGGTCTCATTTCCTTTGGTAAACCACTCAGGTAAGTTTCTCTTTGAGGTTGCAGGTGACATCTATAGAAAATAGAAAGAAAAAGACATATTTTTCCTACTGAAAATGTTAATCAATTGCAAACAAAGTAACATGCATCTGTCACTGTAAAACAAAGTTAACATGCCATAACTATACACCTACCCCTTCAACCCCTCCCCATCAAACCAAAACAAATACAGTGGACCCTTGAGTTACAACTGGCCTGACATATGAACAATTTGGGTTTCAACCAGAATTTGTTTTAACTTACAAACAAAGTCTTGAATTATGACCTGAATGCTGACTGCTCGTGCTTTCAGATGGTCTCAGATACGGATTTAACCCTTAAAGAGTTCTGGAAGGAACATTACAACATCCTTTCCTGTGTGGAGTTGAGAAATCCTGGGCCAGTGTCTCTCTAAGGACACTAAGATCTACCTGTATACAGGAGAGAGACTTTGAAGGCTATGTAAAGGAGCCTGAGCCTTCAATTGAACAACCTGAGTTACAACCAGCCCTTGTGAACGAATTGAGTTTGTAAGTCAAGGGTCCACTATAGTTACATCTACAGAATTTATTTCCAGGTCAAAAAATTAATAAATGAGTGAGTAAAAAAATCACTGTATCATCTATTTAGGCAATTAATTTCCTTCGCACCCATACTGGACACCCAAGTCCAGATCTTCATTTGGTAAGTTAAAAATTGGACATTATTTCACATCTACATCCCATATGTATGTGTTTTGAGTTAATAAAAAATGCTCACTTTAATGTTCTGAGGAAGACAAAGACACATTCAAAATTAATTATATTTAGCATCTAAAACACAATATTAATATCTAACATTGACAACAGTAGATGGACTAGGGGAGTGGTCCGATCATAATCAGCACCTTGCACACTGGTCAAGACATAGAAGACACTCAAAAAACAAACAAACAAACAAACAAACAAAAAACTCATTAAGTGGAATAAATGGAAAATGATAAATGGGAATAAAAAAACATTTCTTGTCTAATAGACTCCTTTGAGAATTTGCTGACAACCACAGGTCCACTTCCCAGAGAAAAGGACAAATGTATATATGTACAATGCTTTGCATGCAATTTTACAGGCTCATGCACTAAAAAACCCTCTGAACCTTACGTTAAAAGTCCCTGGGTGGTAGGGACTTAAGAACACAAAGGTAGTATTTGGGTACTATACCATCAGCACATGAGAAATATAAAACAATTTTAAGTAAGTAAGTGTTGCATAAGCCTATAATGGCATAAATTGAGAACTCAGTTAGAGCACTAGATCCTCAGAATAACCTGACAAACAAATTATTCTAACATTATCACTCCTTGGGCTCTAGCAGTTATTGTAAATATTTGAACACTTTTATAATATGTAATAGGGTAATTTTATCTAAGTTACACTGTACCCCTTAGCCTAAGGTATAACTATGGTATAATTTATTTCACTTCGAGAATGATCTATCTATCTATCTATCTATCTAGTGTTTATCAATTGCTTGCTATGTTTTATTATAATTTCTACATTAAATAATGTTTTAAAATATTTAAGGGTAAAGAAAAAACCAAAAGATTCTTGGCAGAAGACAAATTTTTTATCTGAAAAAGGTAAGAACTATTAGGTGCTCCAGCTTAAGTAAAGAAATCTAATGTAATCCCTTCTTGGCCTTTTGGCTAAGATCAAGTGAAGAAATCTAATGTAGAAGAAAAGGCTACTCACATTATTGCAAAAGCTAGAGGAAAGAAGGCTAAGGTATGGCAACTTTGTTCCTGAATATCAATTTCCAAGCAGGGAGGAGAAAACTAGGAGAACGAATGAGATTTATATTTACTGAAAGATATTATAAAATTAGACTAGGGAATAACAAGTGTTAGAAATATAAAGTGGCATAAAGAAAAAGCATTTTGTTAGAGGGAAAAAAATGGATCCAGAGCCAGGAGGGTAGCTCAGTGACTGAGAATATGCTTGTATGCACAAGGGCCTTGGTTCAACCCCCCACCAAAAAGTCAGCAATATTTATTCTTCTCAAAAGATCTTAATATCAAATCCCTTATAGTCACAGACAAACACAGGTGCTGCAATTAGAGTTTGAACCCCTGAGTGCATTTAAAGGGGTACGGGGAGTTAAAATTGTAATAAAGACAAAGAGTAAAATACGCTGAGACACCTGAACAGTAATAAAATACAGGAGAAATTCCGAGTCTTATGGTAGTCTAATGTCACGGAATAAAGATGGACTTTAAAACAAGAAAGAGCTAGTTTTGATTTCTAATTGATCCACCTACTAAATGTATGATCTTATACATGTTAAACCTTAATTTCGTCACACAGAAAATGGGAATGATACCATATAACATCACTGAATTATCTGGAGTTAAATGAGAATATGCATAAAATATCAAAAACATAACACTTTCTTGTTACTCATTAACTTGTAGCTAATACCATTAAAGTCTTATATCCTATACTATTATATAGAATATGATCCTCAGGATTCACCCTACAGTTATAATAATCTTATTTCAATGAAAAAGGGGAGGATATTTACACTGTGTATGTCTTCTGAGTCTCTACAATAAGTATCTGAAGAGATCTTAATCACGAGGTTTAGGTCACTAGATTGAAATGTCTTCTACTGTATTTCCTTCATCAGTAGAACACTAAATTTCCAGCAATCATAATAACATTTTAAGGAGCTACTTACCACTTTAGGAAACTTCAAATTATATTACAAAGCTATTACTGATAAATTGTGAATAGAAAACATTAACTCATTTCCTGATTATATGTACATGTACATACCTAAGCAAATAGAGAAATCTGTAACAAATTCACATTTAATCTCATCTGTAACTAAAAAACCAAAAATTATTAATTACCAAGCCTAATGCACTTATCATCAAAACTATTTTCATAACTTACTTGTGAACGAGAATCTGAAAGTAAATCCTCTAGCTCTGGATCATCAAGTGGCTGATTCCAAGAAGCTAGGTTTAATGAATTTCTGTGACCTTTGTCTTTAGGTAAAAAATTATCAAGATGTTTTTCATCAGCCTATAAAAGTTTTAAAGAATACAAAAATAGGTATACCTTGCACTTTTCTCTTTTTTCCCATTTTTATTTTTTATTAGTACATGTTTGCAGTACATAATGACCACAGTCCTTGTGAGGAGTTGGTATATGTACAAAATACATCTCAAAATTCTTCCCTCACCCCCATCTCCTTCCCATTAAAAAAAGATCTATCTCCCTACTTTCTATTATCTATCTTTTATTTTGCTCTTTATTTGTGTTTGGGGTTTCTCATACAGGAATAACTATTCAATGTTTAAGTTTGTGTGGCTGATTTATTTATCCTAACATTATGGACCCAAGTAATATAGGAGGAGAACATACTGGTAAGATAGTGGCAACCACAATATAGTTTTTAAATATTTATGAATCCCAGCAATAAAACAGAATTAGACAGCAAAACTAAAACTCATCTGCTATATTTACAATGAAGCTAAATGTGTAGGTTTCTTCAGGAAAGCCAAACTATAAGCAAGCAAGAACAAAACACCAATGGGTAGCCATTAATGCTTGCATGCTAAATAAATCTGTATGGGAGAAATAATGGCAAGCAATAAGTTATCTGCAAATTTCAGAGAACCCCAAAAGAGCCCACAGATAGACTATGGAAAGCATCATGGAATAATGTAAAAACAGCATCTGAAAGTGGAAGGGCTTCTGACCACCCTAACAGCAATAGGTGTAAGAAGTCCCCACTAAGCATCTGAAGCAGCTAGGGCAGCTGGCTTGAATGAACTGTGACCAGCCAAGGCTGCCTTCCAGGAGGAGGCCCGACACTCAGAAGAAACTGCTGGAGTTAAATCAAAATCAAGTGGGACAGGTACAAGAGACACAAACAGAAAAGAAAGCCCAGTAAACATGTAGTATATAGCTTATAAACCAAGTTTTTCTTTTCTTTTCTTTTCTTTTTTTTGGTACCAGGGATTGAACTCAGGACCTTGCACTTGTTAGGCAGACGCTGTGCTGCTGTGCTAAATCCTCGGCCCTCAAGTTTTCATATTTTAAACATTACACAAAAACATTATAGAGAGAACAGTATGAAACTGGAAAAGCTATCCTGACCCTGCCTTCTTTTGAAAGCGTAGGAAAACTAAATTTTACATGAAAATGAGCAACAGTTTCTCTGGTGTGTAAAACTAAAAGTGCTTTGTTGTTCTTTCTGTGTAGCTCAGTCTGGCCTCCAACTCAGGGGTTCCATTCTCAGTGCCACCAAAAAAAAAAGTTATTCATGAACAATGAAGATATAAGTGACAAATAGTGAGTGAAGCTGTATATAAAGAAGATCCAACATATAGTAGAAGCCTGAAAAAGAAATAAAAAGCAATGGAACAAAATACTGAAAAGTGTAATTTATAAAAGCTTTCTAGAAATACATTTTAAAACCATAATTTAAGAAAACTTTCCCAAATAAGAAAAAAACTACAAAGAACCCACTGTGTTCCTAGACATGTTGAATCACAACTACCAATGTCGAGACACAGTCTTCTTCCATTAAACAAAGGCAAGATTTTCTATTTTAATAGCAAACATGATGGATGTAGCTATAACAGTGTAATAGCTAATAAGAAGAATTTATTCTAGTGACTTTATCGGAAGCCACAGAATTATAAGATGAAATAGAAGAAAGGTTAGAACCCAGGTTCTAAAGAGGATGAATGTTAACATATAAAAGGTTCTGAAACTATGTAGGCCCAGATTCTACTGTAATCAGAGCAGCTTTCTATACAGGGAAGCTGGGGAAGAAAAGATGCTTTTATGGACTGACTTCCCCTTAGTCTACTTTCCTGCCCTAATATCCTTATTCTCCTAAATGGGGAAAAGGGCTAACTTAGCTATACCTTTTAGAATCCAGTAGGCTTACTCTCTCATCACTTTCCTATTAGTATTTAATGTTATTTCAATAGAGGAAAAGCAGAAATGCTAATGTGTAATTAAAACATTATTTTACTATAAATGTAAAAATAACAAGTTACACCTATTTCTGCATTGACAGGTAGAAATTATGAAAAAAATAGGAGCTCTTAGGCACATAGTACATATTACAAAAATTAAAACCTGGGCATAAAAGCCTAATTTCATTAATTCTACCCAAAATATATTTTCTTTACTATCCATCTTCTAGCCAGTCAATTATAAAAAGTTAAAATTTCCAATTAATTAAATCTCATTGGGTTATCTAGAATGTAACTATATACAAATCCAACGGAAGTACAGAATTTAAAAGCATCAGTTCCCTTTATTTTTTAAGCTATTCTGAGAAGTTGTTTAATTTTTTGTGTGTGTTACCGGGATTCGAACTCAGGATCTCAGGACCTTGCACTTGTGATGCAGGTGTAGTGCCACTGAACTAAATCCCCAGCCCAAGTTTAATTTTTGGAAATCAAAGTTATCTTAGAACTAAGAGTCTCTAATCTTGTAATGTAAATATCAACTTCTGGTTATTACACTAAATTTATTATTTAGGAACTAAAATAATTTTTAGTAAATTATTAAAAGCTCAATAATTTTTATCAAGCAGTAATGTAATTTTAGACCTGGAAGATATTGAAGGTCAAATTCAGACTTACACAGTCATTTTAATAGAGTCATCTTGCCAAAGAATAATTATTCTTCCATAATTATTTATCTCATATAATTCACTGAACAATAATTTTTCAAGCACTTGATTTTAATACACTTAAAATATTACTACATTTGTAGTCCTTATCTGATTATCCATAAGAATTGTAGAATTCTCAGAATCACGAGCAACAATTATCCTTGTATCCTATACATATATATATAGGATATAACAGTAACAGAGCATGATAAACAACAGAATGATGCACAAACTAGTTTGTTTTCATTAACCATATAAATTCCCTTATGCTTAAATCTATTAACTACACTTTTGAAAGCAAAAAGAACTTTTAGGCTCTGAAGCCAATACAGGTAAAATTTCAGCTGCCATTCTATTCAATAAACAGATGGACCATCTTCTCCTTTTACTGTCTTTTTAAAAAAATCACTCTTTTCAGATCATATTATGAAAAGCAAAGGAAATATAGCACACAGATAAAGAAGTAACCTTATATTAGAATTTATAACAGTTCAAAAAACACATCATTTTAGCATTAGAACTTGCAAACTAAACAAACCAACACTATGAAAATTCTGCATATAATTAACACCTTGGTATTAGTGCCTACATCTTCCTTGCTTCTTTTAGAACTTGAACAGCTCTCTTCAGAGTTGGGGAAACATCTCTTTATGCTGGAATCACTTGAAGGCTGGCATAACAGTCTGTTGTCATGATCAGTTTCAAGAATCTCAATTACCATGTGGATAAGGTATGTGTCGATGTTTTCAGGAACTAACATTCTAATTAGTTTAATTTTACTCATATCTGTAAAAGATGAAAAAAAATTTTAAAACAAATCATGCAGAACATTTCTGAAAACCGATGAGGTGGAAATAAAATATTTTGTAAAAAGGAAGAAAGGTTGCCAAAGTTACTTTTCCTCAAAACCAATAGCCCTACAGAACTGAATGGAATACAAACATATGCTCCTCACTCCTGCATCACCTGAACCCCTTGACTTCAAGACAGGTGAACTTATAATTCTGCATAAACTATGTTTCAAGCTATTTTCTGTAGGCTGCCAAGAATCAAAACAATCCTTTGGTTTCTAAAGGAAACTGCTTCAAATTTCAAATATCTAATACAAATTAATTTTTCTTAAAGATAGCTTATTATTAAAATAGAACCTAATCATACTGATAAATAAGATTCTAACAAAAAGGTTCTTTCAATGGATATTATAGCATCACAAAATACATCAATTATTTAAAATGTTTATTAACTATCTGCGCTTCCGGGGGGGGGGGAATAGGTCATATTTTCAGAATCAAGGAACTATTAATTTTTGTGACTCAAAATAACTAATTCAGATTGTGTCAATATCTTCACACCTTCTACAAATTATGTGGCAATCTCTTACAAATAAAACACTGTTTCAACTACGTTCTTCCAACATTATACACTCAGTTTGCGAATGCTTTTGTTATTAAAAATTAGATAAATTATACAGCCTTAATTTCTTATGCTCTAAATGTAATATTTGCAAATCAATTTTTTAAAAATCCATACTATCATAGGTACGGATTATGTTATAATATAGAAAATTTCTCAATTCTGTATTGTACAAAATTTAGGTATCAAATTTGTTCATTAAAAATTGTATCAGGTGATAAGGCTACATCTGAATTATTAAAGTAGTATATATCTTCATTTCTCATATTTTAATAACCTTGATGTTTTCTCAAGAAAACAGATACTATTTTACCAAATAAAAACAATCCAAAGGCATAATCTCACCTCAATACCTAATATCTTAGATATACAAATGTACTATCAAAAGAAGTGAGAGCTCATGGTTACCACCACCATTTTAACTTCAACTATTTTGGCTTTGGAAGCAAGCTACCAAAAAAATGCACTTTTTAATATTTTATGTTCAAACTAAATACAACGTATTAACAGAAAATATAAATAGGTATATTTTAAAATATACTATTCTTCAAAATTTCAATTAATATTTATCTCTAAGTAAAAATTTACTTACTATTATATACTTTCTGTATGGTGATAAAACCCAATGTTTTACTAATAATGTTTGATTATGAAGTATTTTTTCATCTCCCCAATATTTGTTGAATTGAACTATTCAATTACAATGCTTTTTTCATCTTTATATATTTTCACTTTCATATTTAATTTTTTAAATTTTTCCATTCATTTTTTATTGATTATACAGATAAATGTTGGCAGATTTGTACATGCACATAACATACTTTATTTTCATCCCCCCTCCCCCATTCACATTTTTTTGGGAAAGTCTTCAATGTATATATTTTGTTCATATCCATTCCCCCATTACCTGGTGCCCTTACACTCTCTCCCCCTTTCTCTTATTCCCTTCTTCTTGTCTAATAATAGTCTCCCTTCAACTTTCTTGTCTTTTTGTTGTTGTTTTGTGTTTTGTTTTTGCCTGTTGAGACAAGGTCTTGCTATGTAGTTCAGGCTATCCTTGAACTCACTGTATAACCCACGGTGGCCTTGAACACACAGGAATCCTCCTGCCTCAGCCTCCCTAGTACTGGGATTACAGCCGTGCACCACCACACCTGGCACATTCTTGTCAGTTTTTTTAGATTCCACATATTAAGGAGAACATGCAATATGTGTCTTTCTGAGTCAGGCTTTTTTTGCTTAACATGATGGTTTCCAGATCTATCCATTTTCTTCCAAATGAGAGAATTTCATTTTTCCTTGTGGCAGAATAATACTCCATTGTGTATATAGTGCACATCTTCTCTGTCCATTCATCTGTCTGTTTTGTTTTGTTTTTGTACTGGAGATCGAACTCAGGACCTTGAGCTTGCAAGGCAGGTGCAGTGCCACTGAGCTAAATCCCTGTTTGTTTGTTTATTTGTTTGTTATAATCCATTCATCTGTTGAAGGACACGTAGGCTCATTCCATATTTTGGTTGTTGTTAATTGTGCTGCAATAAAGGTGGGTGTGCAGTGTCTTTAAAGTATGCTGACTTTAATTGCTTGGGTTGTATACTAAGGAGTGATATAGCTGGATCAAGTGGAAGCTCTATTAGTTCTTTGAGAAACTTCCATACTGATATGCATAGCGGCTATACCAATTTACATTCCCACCAGCAGTGCAGAAGTGTTCCTTTTCCCCACAAAGCCTTGCCACCATTTATTGTTTTCTTAATATTTTTGATGGTAGCCATTCTTCCTGGGGTGACATGGAATCCAAATGTAGTTTTGATTTCCACTTCCCTACAATTGATTATAAACATATTACGTGCTTCTTGCAAAATACTGAAGGCTGGGAATGTAGCTCAGTGGCAGAGTGCTGGCCTAGCATGCGCAGATCCCTGGGCTCTATCCCGCAGCACCTATATTTCTTAATTTAGAAGTTATCTAACATCATAGACAGAAACTGCTAAACTCATAATGCACCGAGTACAGTGGACCCTCAAGTTACAACCAGCCTGACATATGAACAATGTGGATTAATTAGGTTAATGGAAGATTCATCTGCCTCTTGTTATCTATAGCATGTACCCAGGTAAACATCCAGATCTCAGCTGTATTGACTTACAACCAACTTGAGTTATAACCAGCCCTTGGGAATGGATGGAGTTTGTAAGTCAAGGGTCCACTGTACTAAATATGTACTAGATACTACAAGATATTAAACTGAATATAATTAATTTATTTTACTCATCAAGTTACAGATTTATAAACCTAAATCCTGTATCAGAACTACAAATTATATATTTCCTTCAAGTTAATTGGCAGCACAACTCAAACAAGGTATAGTACAAAGAAAGTCTTTGTCATTAACCCTAGACATGATATTAAACAGTTTTGCAACTTTCTAGGCCTCACTTTCATATTTCTGAACAAGGAAAGAGAAAATTTAAGTTTTCCAATTTCTTTTTAAAATCTAAAGCTCCATAACTTTATGACTATATGATTTAGAAATGAAATTAACAATACTCCCATTCTCTACCATTCCCAAATAAAATAGATACTGTCAATATCTGGCTGAATAATACAATCTGAAATCTTTCTCTACCATTTTCCTCTACCAATAATGAATTGAGTCTAAAACACTCATTTTATGTTCACTCAGGAACACTGCATGGGAATTCTTCAGTACAAGTACACATTAAAAAAAAGATTATTACAACCTGCCATAATTTTTCCACATCTACAGGCTCTACGTCCTGGATTCACCAACAGATTGAATTTTTTTTTTTAAATTTGCATCTGTATGGAACACATACATACTTTTTACTGTCATTTCATAAATATTTCAGAATAACTATTTACATAGCATTTACATCGTAGTGTTATATGTAATCTAGAGATAACTTAAAGTGTACAGGAGGATGTGTGTAGGTTACATAAAAATACCACAGTATCTTATAAGAGAGACTTCAGTATCCACAGATTTTACTATTTATGGTGGGGGAGAAGGGAATGTCATGAAACTGATTCCCGCACAGATACCAAGGGACCAGTGTGCAGGTTTTGAAACCTTCCTCCTAATATGATAATTTATTAACTTCATACATCTTTAACTAGCTATTAAAAAGGATCGTGAATAAAAGTAATCACATTTTAAAGGTATTTTTATGATGCTATAAGATCTACTTCTATCATCATCATCTTTCACCACCACCATTTACCAACTATTTACCATGCACCAGGGCTTTCTGTGTAGTATCTAACTTATTTCTCACAATTCTGTAAGAGGAAATATTATCCTTCCTCATTTTAGAAGGAAGGAAACAAGACACAGGGAGATTAGCTTCATTTGCCAACAGTCACATTAACTACACAATGGTAGGGCCAAGATTGGAACACAGATCTATCTGTTGCCAGTGCCTTCGCTCTTACTGACAAGGCCGACACCATCTGTCAGTCTTCAGCATTCAAGAAAGGCAGCCAAATGACAGCAAACATGATTGTCAGTACTAAAAAAAAGTAAAAAGCTGCACAAACTCTTTTGAAGAATATTGCCTACTGCTCAACATCTTATCAAAAGACATATTTTTCTGACTCCTAAAAGACAAATATTTATAATGCAAAAAATAATTCCAGAGTATTAAAACCTAGAAGGCATTTGAATCTTTGACTTTCCCTAAAACACTGCCATTTTGCATTGGAGAAACAGGTTTATTCAACCATAATCTGGTTCTACAAAGTCATTACTATTTTCCTCCTTCTGCTCTAATTTCTAGCAAAATGGCTGCTGATGTTAGAAAGACTGGAATGTGGCCAGGAGAGCTGATTTTCTCATAAGATGACTGACAGCTAAATTACCCTGGATATTTAACTACACAGTCCAGGGCTTGGCCCTTTGGTTTTCAAACTTAGAAGCTTAATTTAACCTTAACAAATCCATACTGACCAAGTTCACAAAATTATGCAGGCACGATCATCATACATTCAAATTAGCACGACTACAGCATGCTTTCCCTGTAGATATACATGGGAAATCAAATAATAACCAGAAAGCTAGGACAAAACAGAGAAGAACCACTTGTCAAGAGTCTTTCTCAAATAGGGTCACAACATAACATAGCCACAGGACTTAACACAGCCGAAATCTCACTGGTCCCCACTCCTCACCCCTGGATCTCGGATGAGTGCCATCAGTTGCCTATGTCTCTCCTTCTCCTGTGCTTCTACTGTTGATCAACAGAAGTAGTGGAGGTCCCTGTGCTTTACACCTTCAGTCAAGTCTTGCACAAGCCTAGAAATAATGCTGCTTTTATGGTGACTTACTTTTGCTCTGATTAGTACAGTACTGCCTGTGATTTCAGAAAGTGATCTTATTTCCCTTATTTTCCAAATTCTTGGGGAGAATGTTACAGTTGCTTCCATGTGGTAAAAAATACGTCACTAAAAAGAAATTATTCATACAGCTTAGAGAGAAAGCTTTTTTAAGGCCATTGTCATGTCCTAACAGCCTAAAAATATGTAGCAGATTTATTACATTATAACACACTAAGTTTACATTTCTACATTTAAGGGGAAAATGCCCTAATATATTTCAACTGTACTGTAAAAAATGAATCACTACTTAAAAATTTAGCAGGACAAACCAGGTGTGGTAGCACATGCCTGTAATCCCAGTACTCTGGGAGGTTGAGGCAGAAGGATCTCAAGTTCAAGCACAGCCTGGGCAACTTAGACCTTGTCTCAAAATTAAAAAAAAAAAAAAAATTCTGCAGGAATGAAAGGGCTTCATTAACCTTGATGAGCACAGTAGAGCTTCTGTAGCACAGGGCCAAGAGAAAACCCTTCTCCAAGGGCTACAGAGCTTGGCCTCTGCCCCATGTCACAATACACCATGTTGATTAAAGAGGACACTCAAGTGAAACTATCAATGAGGAATCAAAAAGGTTCGGGAAAATGGGCGGTCAGTAAGCTGTTGGGAATGAATATAGAGAAAAATGTGGGTTTTGCATGTGATTAAGTAAAAAATAGAAAAAGGTAAATGTGCCCTGTTTGGAGATAGGTAGGAAATATGTAACGTGAAGCTAAAAAGGAAAAAAATCATTTTGTCTTCTTTCCCCGTGAGTGATAATGGAAAGACTGCTTTTCTCAAACCAATAGACTAAAAAAAAAGTAAGGTTTTCAAAGCACCACAAAGGGTCAATGCTGTTAAAGGGAAAAACATTAGCTGATTGCTTGTTTACTTCATCTGGGTTCAGTGACTCAAGTCATTAAAGCTGTGGGTAGACCCTGCTCATCACCTGAGTTGATGGGAGGGTTTCGGATAACATCAGCAATAATCTTCTGAATCTCTGGAGTCAGCCCTGCCCGCTCCATATCCAGGGAGTAGCCAGCTTTCACTGCTTGGGCTAAGTGCATGCCAACTGCTGTGAGCGGCAGAATCCTGTCCTTGGCTATGCTGTCCTAGAGAAACAATAGCAAAAGAACCAGTGAGCTTTCTGTTTCCACTGTACTTCATGGAACAAAAATAACCAAAACCTCAGGTAGCAAATATTTACTGAGAACAAAAAATGGGCTAACCTGCACCTAAGATTTGCATTTTAAATACTAAAGGCCTCCAAGGGTTCTACTTTTTACCCTTGTTATATTGAGTAGAACAAAAGCACCCAGCATTAGACAAACATTCAATCCTCACCCCTCTCCATTGACTTTACAAACCTTTAAGTGACAGAGAGATTATTCTATGTAAGTGTAACAGCTGTCGCAATGTTTTGGAAATAGAGAAAACTATATTCTAATAGTCTGTATGCTTGAAATAATATATGGTGCTTTGGTTATGTGAGTGTCCAAGGAGACAAAGTCTAAAATGTGTAGTGATGATGTAAGACTCCAAATGAATGCTATAAAAGGGTCTTGAAAGACTTTGATAGGTGTTTTAAATTGTTTCTATTCAGAAAATAATAACTACACCTTTAACAAGGGCTGTCACCACTGTCCTACTATTGAACTTGTTTAACTTAGAATAATGTTTCATATTTATACAGCTTTTTAAACAACTGTGACTCCAAATTTAAGATCTGTATTAGCTAAAACATTCTGAGCATTTAGCTCAAATCTAAAATATTTCATGATATTCTTGCAATACATTTTGAAAGTCTGAATTTAGACTGAATTTGTGTGAATACTGATACTTTCACAGAATAGATCGTGTGAGGCAATATTTTCATCCTTCAGAGTAGACATTAAATTACCTTCATTAAATGTCTACCATTTTCTACTAGAAAGTGTGCACCATGTGTGCATAATATCAGGGTTACTTGATACCAGGCATCAAATTACTTCAACCTAATTATATTATTGCTCCTGATTAATAAGTCCTTAGGCATGTTTAATTTTGTGGTTAATTGGCAAGGCCCTCTCAGGCTCTAGGGATGTACAGATAATTAACCATCCTATCACAAAATATTACCAAATAATGCCAAAAGACAAAAATGATGATACATTATTCTTCACATCTTTAATCATGAATATGTAATATAATATGTGGAACTACATATGATTAAGATTAGAATGCACATTACTCAAAAAATTCAGAGCTCATACCAAACTTTCTTTATAATAATAGTTCTAATCATGTATAAAAGCTTTTTGAAATATGTACATGAAAGTTACTGTTTACATAAGAATTCAACTTGCATAATGGAATTATTTGGTTTTTTGAGTAATGGCTTTTGTACTTTTAATTGAGGAACTTGACTATCTAGTTACACTAGTATGTAAAATAAGCTGCAGACTTATCTCCACTTTCTATACCGAGAAAGAAAAAAATCAAACCTCAACAGCCTTAAGGATATGTATTAGAACAATGAAGAAATATTAAGCAAGTGGCCCCTTTTGTTTTGTTTTGTTTTTGTTATGCGAAAAGCACCTGGCATAGTTTAAAAAAAAACAAAAAACAGTGCTGGTAGATACAGAGTGAATTTTTTAAAAAACTTATTTCCAGCTTTTTGGATATCCTTCCAGAGATCCTGCATACATTTTTAGACATATACAAAGCTAAGGAATATAAAAGTATGAATATATACATATATACATACACACTTACACATATATGTTTTTTACCTTCTTTTTTTTTTTTTTTTTGATACGGGTGATCGAACTCAGGACTTTGCACTTGCGAGGCAGGGAGCGGCTCAACCTTCCTTTTCTTAAACTTAATGAATTTCAAAGATTTTTTTTTCCAAGCCAAACTAACCCAGCTTTATTAAAGATACTTTTCATACCGAGTTCTATCCCCAGTACCGAAAAAAAAAAAAAACGATACTTTTCATAAACAGTCATGGTGTTTTAGCCAGGACATGGGCACACAATCATTAACAGTGCCCAACTTTTCAAACTTCTTTCTTGGATGAATGACCAAAAATCAAAACCCCACTACAAAACCCAATAAAGTCTTCATTCATTTGATGCTCTGAATAGAGAAAGTTTAGAGAGAGGATTGACATTTCATGTTTAGCATATTGTTTAATATCTTTTCACAAGCTGACCCTGACTTTCAGGAAATGAAACGAAAATGGCAGAATTATCAATCTGAAGATCCACAGTCTAGAAAAGGAACCATTGTTCTTGTGGGACACCTCAATGTCATTCCCAAGTCCAGACTGCCTGACATACTGGAAACACCAATTTGGGGGAGTCAGGTCCTGCAGGGGACCAGCTTGAAACTACAAGGAGCAAGCTTTAGATATTATTGAATTGGCTTATGAATTCAGCTACTGATTACAATTATGAGTCATTCCAAGGCCCAAATGTGAATTGCTAATTGACGCTTCAGCTGGTGTATGGACTTCCCTATACCAAAGGTCACAATTGAGATCTCAATGACTGATGCAATTGTAACGACTCTAATACCAAGAAAACAATATAGCTGAGGAATTATGATTCTGTGCAGCCATTCTCCAAGATCAAATGCTAGCTAAAGATAATGCAGGTGGCTTTCTAGCTACAATCTGAAAGATAGTACAACAGGTGGCTTCTTAACTGTGACCTGTCGTTCACAAGTACACAGTTACTCCCCTTTTCCAAACCTGGCTCATTAGTGCATTAGTTTTGCTATTCCCTAAATCTGCTTTATGTCCCCAGCTATATTGTATAATCATAAACACCGACTAATCCAAAGATCTTGGTCTCAGCCAGAGTTAAGATCAGATCTTAGCCAGGACAGACCTAAGATCAGGTGGTCTTTAGCCAGGAGAGAGCTAAAGATCAATTCCCAGCCTCCTAAGCATCAAACTATCGTTCATTATTCTTTATTCCTTGTTCTTTGTATATTATTCTTTCATCCCCGGCTATACCCCAATCAGGCGATCAGGCATCACCCAATAACTAACTGGCGGTCAGGCTATCAACCCAACAAGGTCTCAATGGGCCTCTGGGCTTAAAGGAGGTAAGTCTATGCTGGTGACTGAGAAGGAAAGGAAGACATAAAAATGAGTTGGTTTTCCCATAGCACAAGGCATTTGTGCCAAGGTGGCCACATGTGTCAACAATCAGGGAATCCCTTTTCCTGGGAGCCAAAAGGAAGTCTCTCAAAACTAGCAGGGAAGGGTGTTTTCCCCACATCAATCCAGCTTTGCAGACACTGCATTAGTGACATATGCTCCTTCCAAAAAAAGCAATGAAGTATACTGTGTGGTAACAACATAGCTTTAAAAAAAAGTAAAACAAATTCTGCATTTATAAAACTTGATTAAAAAATAGTATTTCAAATGGTATATTCACCAGAAGTACAGTTATCAAAAATGCACACACTTCACTTGGCATCTCCAGCCCCTTTCACTTTCTGTGCCTGGTCTGTCTGGGCCTGTTTTCTGCAGGGTTATCCCATCCTTGCTGGTGTCAGCTTTTCCTTTTTTCCCTTTTAGTACCTTCTCTCCTTTCTTTAAAGGGGCCTTTTGGGGCTTGGCCTCTGCCTTTGTTTTTTTTGTTTTTGTTTTTTATTTATATATTAATTGGTACATTTTAGGTATACAATACATTTACATTTATCATTGGGTGTTTGTACCTGAACATGATGTATCTTAGT